TACATGTACAAACATTTGTCGATGTATTTTAAAAGCCACTGATTATTATGTCAATATCATTACTTTAAGAAATTATATAGTAGGTTAGGTAATAAAACTCCATAATGGGGAAGACCTGGGAAACTGTTGCCCTCGGCCTTCGGCCTCGGGCAACAGTTTCCCAGGTCTTCCCCATTACCTCGGGACAACAGTTTGACTGTTCCCCTCGTAGTGATGAAATAAGTGTATACTGTTGCATGGCTGAACTAATCCATTATGACGTCATGATTAATTTCCCCGTACTTTACAGCTATAATATTGAATTATGTATAAATTGAAGCATTTTCATGGCAATAAATTAGAAATTATGATTGGAAGAGTAATCCTGATACCCATATAAATAGAGATTCAATTTAATATCATTTGAAAGAAGAGGACAAGAACACCTTTTCTGAGGGTAATTTTGGAAAAAGGTAGGCCCCTTTCACTCTCTGTAGATCCTTGCCTTTTAAAACGTTCGACTCAGCGTGCTATATTTAAACCTTCAAGTCATCTTATGTTTTTTATTAAACAATACATGTATACATCAATATTTATTAGGGCATGATAACACTAAGAAATAATGCATACTTTTGTCGATGTGTCTATATCATTACTTTAAGAAATTATATAGTAGGTTAGGTAATAAAACACTTATTTCATGACAACTCAGGAAACAGACTGTTGTCCCTCCATAATGGGGAAGACCTGGGAAACTGTTGCCCTTGGCCTTCATCCTCGGGCAACAGTTTCCCAGGTCTTCCCCATTACCTCGGGACAACAGTTTGACTGTTCCTCTTGCAGTCATGAAATAAGTGTATACTAGCATTCTGTTACGGGGTATTGCAATTAATCATGATTACTGTTATAAAGGTCATCTGTTAAGATTTCATGACATCTTCTGGTTGGCTTCAGGTCTTGTTGATCTTTTACATTTTCTGTATCTTTTGATGCATATCTTTTTTGTTTAGGTTTGTAAAAAAAATATTTTTGCTTATTTTGAACAGGAGCTTCTGGAGAGAGGCCTTAGTGTGAGGCAGAATGTCCAGGCAGCTCAGGAATTATTTAGCCTTCTCTGTCCCTAGTGAAGTTTCCTGAAGGGCATATGCTAGGGCCATGTTTGATGCTGATGTTTTGCAGCAAAGACCGCCTTGATGGATTTCTTGGAATAAGGCAAACTCAGGAGAATTGGACTGACAATTAACACTGGCCAGCGAGTATTTTCCAGAAATTCCTACTTTTGTTGAGTGCAGCACAGTGCATGATGTTAGATTCAGAACTGGTATTTACCGGTGAAGTTGTATTGTTAGAATAATTACCTCCATCATCCTCTCTGTGTTCACTGTATGTATTTTATATATGACAATTTTTAAAGAATTTCACCATAATTGGGGGTAATTTTTCAAAAAAAATCTTAAGAGTTTTTATCTATATTCTTGATCAAAGTTGTTATCAGAATTAAGTAGAGGGGATATTTATACAATAAATAAAAATTGATAAGAAAAATTTACTGCAGCATATGTGATATGTGAGCATTTCAAAATTGTCCATTGTGTGTCTGATGCTCATTTCATCCTCTATTATCAGGAGATCCTACACATCACTTCAAAGGGCCATAACTCTGCTGTTCAGATGACAAATGCAATGAGATTTCACAATGATGTGTCGTATAATGGCTGTAGAAGATTTTGTACCAAGTTTTATGAAAATCAATCCAGGTCAGAGTCTTTATCAGGTAACAGTTTACAAATTTTACCTCATTTTCATTGATCACCCATGGCCAAACAGTGCCAGTTTAAAAATAGGGGTTTTGACTTTTTTTCATAAAAATTCTTGTGGATATATATGGTATTGGAATGAGGTTATTTGATGGAAGAGATGGAAAAGAAAGGGTCTAAAAAAAAACTAAGAAGTCTAAAATAATGGGAATTCTGCTTTAAGGTGCAAAGTAGGAAGGGTGTAAAGAGGCCTTCATTTACCTGCTTCTTTAAGGAAAATGGAAATATCCAGGGTACTTGCAGGGTAGGGGATACTTGTGGAGTCATTGCAAGGCTTGTAGACTACGGATATTTCCAAGATTCAGAAATATTTTTAGACTTGAATTGTTCGAGCACTTTGCCATATTTCAGATGAGTGTCCATGGTGGAATTTTTTAATTATATTGAAATGCCACCACTTGATGATGGGGGGCTGCAAATTTAGACCAGTACTGGGCACTTATGGTCTTTGAGCAGTGAGGGATCTTTTTCATGCCAGTACCTACTGCGACATATGACCCTGGTTTTTATGGTCTTCTCATCTGAAGGACTGGTCTGCACATATCATATTGGGATTTGAACCCGCGACATAATGATTTACTCCACAACTCTGGATCAAATGCTCTAATGACTGCACCACGTGGGCGTCCTGAACAGAAGTACAGAAACGATACTGTATCATATTCTACATACATGTAAATACATGTAAAACCTTCCAATTTCATAGCATTTTCATTCCCTCTGTCCATCAGAAAAATGCATATATAATTTATTTCCTCTAATATTTTTGTAAATTTTCACAAAGTTAAATTGATGTTTGTTATAACAATTTGGCATTGCCCTAATGTCAGTACCATAACAGCCTATGATCATGATCAAACACCATCAATTTTTTATGCTTTTACAGAGAGAAAGAAGCAATTACCCATCGAAACCTGTATCAGTGGTACTGAAAACAACTGGATCTAGTGACAATGTGAGTACATTATTATGCACTGTATAATTAAGGAATAACTGTCTTATTTTTTGGATTCATGATGTGATCAATCGAGTGGCTTGCGTGATAATTTGCATAAACGCCAAAGGCGTTTATGCATAAAATTATCACGCAAGCCAATCGATTGATCATCGTCATGAATCCAAAAAATCTGACAGTTATTCCTTATATTTACATGCCCCTGATTCTGCAAATTCCCGTGCTAATAGCCCCGCTTCTGTCTCTATTTGTCCCGCCCCGCTCGATGAACCAGTAGATTTATGTAGAAATAAAGTATTTTTACAATTTGTAATTTTATCTCGGACAAAGACATTGGAAATGTAAATATTTAAGAAATAAACAACAATATTAAAAAGTTCTCTGGGAAATGAACTTGGTTGGTCATGTGATCAAATCCTGTGTAGCCCAAAGGGCTTCTCAGAAGATTTGATCACGTATCAACCAAGTTCATTTCCCAGTGAACTTTTTAACATTGTTGTTTATTACTTTTATTTACATTTGAGATGAATATTCTGAATAGAACTGCATTTATTACACGAACGGTCCGCCGTATTGCTATGTTGTGACGCGCAATGACCTAGAAGCTGTTTGGTCTTGAGAGTTCGCCTCACTCCAACATTTGAATACTTACATTGATGTTCAGCAGTCCAGTTCAGGAAATATCTGTTCATAATGAAAAAACAATGATCTCTACTGAGAATAATCTTACTATTATTGTATGAGTTCTTTATATATGAAGTCAAAAGCGGTGGTATCATCTTCAGTTTATAATTACATACCTTCAAAGGAATTTCGTGTTAAAAAGGTAAGGGTGATTTTAGGCTAATTAAAGGCATTCTTCACACCGCAGAGAGATCTAATGATCATTTGTTGAACGAAAAAAAATATATGTTTCAATAATTATATCTTTTTCATTGCTTTAATGGCTTAGAAGTTCCGAAACCAGTGTCACCGTAACCAGCTGGTAACATAAATATGTAGACAAGATATCATCTCGCTGTGTGATTCGGTCAGGCCGTGACCTCTGACCCTCTAATAAGTTCATACAGAATTGAACATATTTTCTCTTCAATAGGTTCATATAAAAAAAATATTTGCAAATGTAAATGATAATTATTGTTTTTCCTTTGCATTTTTAAGCTCACCTGAGCTGAAAGCTCATGTGAGCATTTCTGATAATATTTTGACAAATGTCCTTCTGTCTGTAGATCTGTAAACTTTTTGACTCGATCCTTTTCAAGAACCACTAGACTCTTCCATTGGGACATTCTGACATTATAGTGGACTTGACATCGAAAGTATAGGCCTTTTGTAAATTGTTTTGTTTCGAGGTTGAATGGCAGAATTTAATTATGGCAAGTCATCAGAAAAATTATGTAAATATAAGATTTGAATTCTTTGAAGTTCATGAGGTTAAACTACAATACTTCATGCATGCATATTTGTTATGAAATGCTAATGCCAGCATAAAACGTCACAGTTCATGTCCTGATGAATTTTCAAATTAAAATAAAACTCATTTCTTAAATGAACTCATGTATCCTAGTGTGCCAATAATAAACAAAATGCAAGAGGTCTGAAATATACAGGGTGATCCAAAATATCTGATACTACTTTGATCCTCAAAAAAATTATCATCAATTATAGTAATATTTCATTTATACATCATTTTAAACTGCTGCAGCTATCATTTTCATCGACAAGTAATACTAGAAAACACTGATGTCACTACATGTGATATTAGGCACTGTAGGGCATCATAAAACTGATACTATTTTTATCATGTAGTAAAATGTATACCAAAGGGTTGAAGTTCTCCATTAAAACTCACTGGACTCTATCTGTGGGGGGTATCTAAAGAACAAAGCCAACTTTCCATGAGAATTTCAAGTTTGTAATACTCGGGGAAATGTGAGAAGTTACTCCAGACATGTGCAGTGATGTGATCACAAACTTTGAAGGAGACTTCACTTTATCTCATGCTTGCTTAAAAGGGACTTCATGTATTAAGTGTGCTTAGATAACTGCATTATTTCATAAATTGTGGGTTTAAAAAATATATAAATTGTACATGACATATGCTATAGAAAATATCAAAGCAGGTATTAAATTTTGAAAAATTTTATTAAATTTTATTATACATGTATGCCATGTGGAAGTTTTATCAACCTTCAAAATGGTATCAGATATTTTGGATCACCTTGTATTTCATGAGAAATCTACATTCCAAAGTCTTGCAGATTCAAGCTCGGTGAAGGGTGGGGCTACATGTAGATATGGGAGCAGATTTCACATTATACAGTAAGGCTATGTAAGTCATATTGGTATTCAGCATATATACCAGTAATTGTTATGAGTGGATTAAAGTATGCTTATGTACATGTATTAACGTAACAGGTGACATTCATTTTGACTATGATATTTCTGATTTCAGGAGTAGTCTCCCCTGTTAAAGATCAACAATGGTGGATATACAATGCGGGATGCTGTGTAGTACATACTACGTACATCATTAACAGAGTTTTGACACCTGTATACCTGTATTTCTACCAATCACCTCTGTAACCTTTGTTGTAATCATCAGACAGGTAAGAAAAACAAGATAATTAATGAAAATAATTTCTAAAAATAATTAAGATAAATACTGAAAAAAACATATTTACATGTACAGACTCACCCATGTAAGAAAATGTCACATTTTACACACACAATTATACGTCATTTACATATCCTGGCCATTGATGCAGTAAAACATAGCAATTTTATTTAAATATGTAACAATTCACAGAATAGATGCTATGTATTTATAAATGCTTTCATACATTTAAATTACATACACAGCTTTTTTTAACACAATCTCCTTTTTAGCTCACGTGACCTTTCTGATCACCCATTGTCCGTCTGTCTGTCCGTCCGTCCAGCTGTAAACTTTTCACATTTTCAACTTCTTCTCAAGAATCACAGGGCCAATTTTAACCAAACTTGGTACAGAGCATCCTTAGGTAAAGGGGAGTTTTAATTGTTCAAAGGAAGGGCCAAGCCCCCTTCAAAGGGGAGATAATCAAGAAAAGACAAAAATTGGGTAGGGTCATTAAAAAATCTTCTTCTCAAGAACCACTGGGCCAAAAAAGCTGAAACTTATGTGGAAGCATCCTAGGGTAGTGTAGATTCTAAATTGTTCAAATCATGACCCCCGGGGTAGGGCGGGGCCACAAAAGGGAATCCAAATTTTTCATTGAAATATGTAGAAAAAATCTTTTAATATCTTCTTCTCAAGAACCACTGGGCTAGAAAAGCTGAAACTTATGTGGAAGCATTCTGGGGTAGTGTAGATTCTAAATTGTTCAAATCATGACCCCCGGGGTAGGGCGGGCCACAACAGGGAATCAGTTTTGCATTGAAATATGTAGAAAAAATCTTTAAAAATCTTTTTCTCAAGAACCACTGAGCCAGAAAGGCTGAAACTTAAGTGGCAGCATCCTGGGTAGATACTAAATTGTTCGAATCATGGCCCCTGGTTAAGGTTGGGACCACGATATGTATTACAAGGGGGGAAATCAGGTGAAAAACAGCAAGGCCAAAGTTACTCAGGTGAGCGTTGTGGCCCATGGGCCTTTTGTTAATTTTGGATATGTCAGTGGTTTACTGTAAGTGTCTATATTTTAACAGTTTTTGTTTCATTTTAAAGTCATTTTGCCTATTTTGTTGTTGTTTTAGATGATGGACCACTCTACATTCTTTTATAACAGATTCCCCTACAGATTCACAAAGTTCCAATGTTGAATTTCCATGACCCCTATTCAGTGAGTGCACAACTTTATGTATTCTACTTTTAAAATTTCCACTACTTGTAATATGTTTTGGATTTGATTATGAATATGCCCTATTCACAGATTCAGCTTTTGTGTACAAGTATGATACTTAATTCTATTAACTTGAAGATTATTTAGTCCTAAAGTCAAATTTATACAGTCTTTTAACAAACATTTGTCTTCCTCAGTCATGTTTAATTCAAAGTCACTAGGCACCACTGAAGATTTCCACTTATTGCTTTTCAGTCCATGACAGAAAAAGGAATAAAGTTGACAGGACTTTCATCACTGCCCTTTAACTGGTAGCAGTTTACTTTTAGACAGCAGAAGACATAGCCAGTTTCATCAAAGGTAAGTCTTCTTCGGGTAGTTTGTGTAGCAGTTCTCATGCTCTGTCCTTCACTGAAGCTTCAGGTCCAAGCAAATCTTCTCTTCATGGATTCTCTTAATATGGCATTGGTTCTTCTCAGAAACATGTGACTGCTGAATGGAACCTTAGCAGTCTGTTTTCTTTGAGGTTCTTTAAGGTTTTCAATGACATGTCCTTGTTTTTCAGATGCACCAGATGCCTTGGCACTATCTCCATCACTGGTGAAATGGGAAATGACTAGTAGACCGTCATCACTTAATATTTTTAACTCACCAATGCATAATTTGAGGCCAATCTCTTCTCATCTCCGATGGTGGTCTCCAGAGGAATGGTTGCAGTGCAGTCTTCGTGTCCTGGGCCTTTCCTTCTCAGGTGTGTGCCTTTCTTGCATAGTTTATTCCCACAGAACACTGCCTCAACATTTTTCCTCTGAGTAACATTTTCACTTACAGTATAAGTCACTTGGGTGGCAGCTTGGAATTGGTTTTTCCAGTGGCACTGAAGGTGGCATTATTATACCAAACATCTCCTTCCCCTCTGATAGGGGTATCAGGAAGTCCACATTTTTAGCTCTATTGGTCAGAGACCAGAAGAGATCATGCTATTGTAAAGTGTCTGTCATTCGTCGTCTGTCTGTAAATTTTTTTTTCAAAATTCTACTCCTCCTACAGTTTTGGTCTGATTTGTGGCACACAAATAGAGTACACTAAGACATCGGTTTTTGATTTATATAAACTCTGTTGCCATGGTTAGCAAAATTAAAATTTCTGTGAAATACTTTCAAAATGCTACACCTCCTACAGTTTGGTCTGATATCAATTTTGATATAACATGGCATGCAAGTAGACTAGATACATAATTGTCTTTATCGTTTTTTTCTTATTTTGATGAATGATGTTGCCATGGTAACTAAAATCGAAATTTCTGTAAAATTCTTTTAAAAGGCTACTCTTTCTACAGTTGTTGTCTGATTGCAATCTTACCATGAAAAGAGACTAAATCAAGGATCACTATTCCATTTATTGCTGATGCAAAGTTTCAAGTCCAAGTTACTTTTCTCTTCCTTTGTTATAAGTAAAAACCAGACAGTAGGGCTACAGTCTCGACGTAGACTACTGGTTCATTAAGTTCTTGAATGTTCTGCCCTATTGATTTTCTTCATACTAGTTTTATTCACATCTATGATAATTTCCCCACTTTGTTGCAGGTCTGTTGCACATGGGTGGCTGAAGCTGGTTCAATATTTCCACCAAGAAACATACCATGCATACCCTCTGTAGTAATGCTGGTACCCAAGTGACCGATAGCCATGGCCACATTTAGCTGTGCAGCTCTTCATCCCCTTCCAGATCTCCTCACCTCTTCGTAAAGCTTTTCTCATTGACTGGTGTAGTGGCACTTCTTACATCGGATAAAAGGATCCATGCCAGGCCTCGTTTTTCCTCCTAATGTTGGTTCCAGTCCAGTGAACTGTCACAGTCTGGAAACTTCTTTAATTGTTCTTTAAATGCCTGATTCCACAATTTAGCAGTCTTCTCTTGGTGAAGGACTTTGTATAGTTTTGAGTTTGGGTCATCTGACACAGCTTCCATGTAGGAGTCTACAGGCTGGATTTCACTTAGCCCGGGTCACAAAATCTTCATCTCACTGCTTCGGCTCTCGGCAGAGTCTGACATTTATATATATTTATACAGACATATAGAGACATTTTCATTTTCTCGTTTTGGGCATCTTATTTAAGGCCTACAGTATTAATTTTGGACTCATGTACTAGGAATATATCTTTAGCAGAATTGTCTTTTTTAGGTCACCTGAGTCGCTCAGGTGACCTATTGCAATCTGTTTTTGTTCGTCGTTGTGCGTTATCATTTGATCATTTTTAGCTTCTTCTCTGAAACCACTTAACCAATTTCAACCAAATTTGGCATATAGCATATATGGGTGAAGGGGAAAAAATATGAATTTCATGGTCCCTGCCCCCCTGGGGCCTGAGGGGTGGGGCTAAAACCACCAAAATTAATGCAATCTTTAAAAATCTTCTTCTTTACTCCTGGACATCAAGCAGTCAAACTGTTGGCATGATTGTAATAAGCATTGAGCCTCTACCAAAATTGTGAAATTCATGGCCCCAGGGTCAGGGGTTCTGGTGATAGGGTGGGTATATATAGATCAAATAGTGAAAGTGCCTTATTTCTTTGAGAATCTTCTTCTCTGCTCCTGGGTATTAAATAAACTAACTAAGTACATAGTTATGAAGAGCAAGAGTGCCTCTTCCAAAATTGTGAATTTCATGGTCCCAGGGTCATGGGTGCTGGTGTTAGGGCGGGCCTCTATTGATTATATAGTGAAAATGCATTATTTCTTTGAAAATCTTCTTCTCTACTCCCTGGATACTAAATAAACTATAAGTACATAGTTATGATGAGCAAGAGTGCCTCTTCCAGAATTGTGAATTTCATGGCCCCAGGGTCAGGGGTTCTGGTGTTAGGGCAGGGCTCTATTCATTGTATAGTAAAATTGCATTAATTCTTGAAAATCTGAAAAGTACTTTCATAGTTTTAATGATCAGGTAGACTTGGAAATAATAAATGAATAAAAATGAGACAAAAATAACATCTCTTTTTATATCTTCTTCAAAGGCTAAGAGAGGCCAGTGTGAGAGTTAATAATATGGGGTTAAAAAAATAGACATTTGTTAATAGTCTGCATGGTAATAGTGATAAATGGGGGACAGATAGATACTAGACCAATTATTTTGTTGATGCTAATCATACTATTTTTCTTGCTTTTGGGCAACAAGGCTTCATTTATCAGTTTATGGATCCTCTAAATTGTTGTATTGTACTCAGATGACCGTTAAGACCGTTGGGCCTCTTGTTTAGGTGTACATGATGTAACTTTCTGGATGATGTGTAGTCTGTCAACATCTGAAACCCACATGTATAGATAAGCCTGTTTTGTATAAGAATCATGTCTATTGTATTGCTCAGCTTTTTGCAGGTTTTATATGAATAAGTTAAAATTTTATTCTATATGTATAGATTTAAACTAAAGGTGCATAGACACAGATTTGAAGTTTATATTTTCTCAAATTTTCTGTATAATATCACAACTTATATGTTGCTATAGCATTTCACACGAAAATAAAATTAAAAACTTATTTAATCTGGAAATTATTGAAACTACGAATTTCGGGTGGCATTTGATTAACACATCCTTGCACTTTCACGATTTTTAACTTTATCCTTAATACTTAGGAAAAGTAGCAATTTTGTTGTGTATTAATGAATAATATTACATCTATAATCCAGAAAATTCAGAGTAAAAATGTGCGAAAGTAAAACCCACTCACTTAAGTATTGTCAGCCCCTGCTCAATGTTGTGTAGTTGTGTACAGAGTTTAACAAATTGAATACACCCATGAAAAGTAAACTGTTTTTGTAAACAGGGCACGAGCTCTGTTGTTATTAATGTTTACGTTTCACCGGGTGTGTTCAATTGTTAAACTCTGCACACACCACTGAGCACGGACTGACAATACTGGTAAAAGGATTTTGCTTTCTACATTTCTACTCTGAAATTTCTGCATTATAGTTTTAATATTTTTCATTAATAAACAACAAAATTGCTACTTTTCTAAAGTAATAAGGATAAAGTTAAAATTTGTGAAAGTGCAAGGATGTGTTTATCAAACACGTCCAGAAATTCAAAGTTTCAATAACTTCCAGATAAAATAAGATTTTTATCAAATTTTCGTATGAAATGCTATATAGCAACATATAAGTCATGAAATTATACAGAAAATTTAAATATTAGTAAATATTAACTTCAAATCTGTGTCCAAGCACCTTTAAGTCATAATTCTCAAATTTCTTTCTGTAAAACGATATAATGTTAGTGTTGCCATGACAACAGATGCCTTGCTATTTAGATTTGCTTTAAACTTTTCTGTAAACTAAATACATACGTATCTTTAATAATTAGCTGTCAGATCTTAATTGGTTGAAAGTAATATCAGTATACTTTTTTGTTATTATTTAAAAGATTATTTAGAAAAATGTTGAAATTGAAGCTATTTTTTGTAACTTACTGTGGTTTCCATGTTAACACATAATTAGGGTTAAAAATATTAGTTTTGTTGGTCAATCATCATTTTCATATTTGTGAAAGTTGTGTACTATGAATATATGTTTACAACCAGAAAAAGAAAATAATAGAAATCTTCATGGAAAAGTTTTAGTTTTCAAAACTTGTGTTGTCAAATCATCTTTTACAGATTTGATTCTTTTGTTTTATTGAATTTCTTACTGATAAATAATCTTTTTCAGTTAATTTTTTTAGTCGTCCAAAATTGGTCCAAGATACCAATTTCTTTATTGGATATGCTTAACTTTCAACTTCAGAAAACAAGTTATCATTCACTAAATTATTGTCTTATTATCAGATGTATGTGTAGTAGATGTATTACACTCAGAGTGAACATTATTCAGTTTGAATTTCATGTAGAAAGTTGTAGAAAGGTGTCCTATAGTTTCATCAATTTATATAATTCTAACGAATTCTTGGACAAAGACAGGCATATAGTTACAGATCTAGAGAAATTGTAAATAGCATATATCTTTAGGAATTTATTTCTTTTATAATACTTATTATTATATTTGAAGACCTACCGTTGTAAGATGGACTTGGTTCCATAAACCGGTGAATTATTTCATTATTTTGTTATATAAGAAAGATAACTCTTCACAATTGTGAAAAGTATTGCTAGTGATTAAGGTTATAAAAGTTATTTCCCTTTACGTATGTAAAACAGTAGTAAATTCCATATAGTGAACTATTCAATTATGACACAATTTGTATAATGATCCTTATATATATCTATTATAATATTATATTTTTATTGTACCATTCTAATATAATTATGTGTTTTATATTAATTTCAGAGGCAGCAGTTGTCAAATCATAAATATTGAAATCATGAAATCATAAATAATATATATTGAGAACTGGATATTCTTCTTTGTGCTTGTCTTGTTCTTTTTCATTCTTTTGTGCTTTTTTTTTCACTTTCAAAATAATTTTTTCAACGTATTTGAACTTATTTTAATTTGTATTTAAATCTTACCTGGAATATTAATTTTGAGTTTTCCTGACGTAATCTTGAGATATAGATTTCAGATGAAATGTACTGGCGCCACTGAGCATCCAACTTTTTACATTTCTTTTAAATCCGGAAGAAATTAACACCTTTTTTTTTCTTTTTACATTTTCATAAGGGTTATGACATCTCAAAGACTATGTATAAATGGAGAACAGAATATTAGTTAGTATATTTAAGTTTTTGATTACTTTTTTTTCACGTGATCAAAAAGTTGCATATATGTATAGAAACTTTTTTTACATTCAAAATTAGATTAAAAATCAAGTAGAATTTAATTGAAGTTTGTTTTAATTTTATAGTCTTGAAACTTTTATTTTTAACCAAATTTATTTTGTGCCAGAACATTCAGTTATAAATGATACTTGTAAATAGGTCAGTAGGTCACATGGCTCAGGTGACCTTAAAAGAAACTTGCAAGGCTTCTGTATAGCCCTGTTTGAAGACAATATACCTGTACACTGACCAACAATATGTAAACTGACCAAAAATATACATTGACCAATAAGGTGATCAAGCTTAAAGCTGTGTACCTTGATCCATGGAGAAAGTAACTGTCCATTGTACATACATTAGTTACAAAGTTCTCTGTATTTCAACAATGGCATTCATATGACATATGTAGAATGCATGTACAGTCAAACCTCATTATTTTTTTCTCAATGGGGTGAAGAAAGAACTTTGACATTGAGGGTTTAAGATACTGAGGGTAAAATGCTTATCAAAAAGTGCTGCAGACTTCTAAATCACTTCGACATATCCATGGTATTCAAGATATCCAATTATTCCAGATACCAAAGTTCAGCTTTATAAGTTCAGCTTTAATGCCCCTTTTGAGATTTTTTCACTCATGCATATGAAGACATCAGCCCTTGCTGACGGAGAGCTGCAAATTAGATCTATACATGTACTTGGCACTCAGGGCCATTGAGCAGTGAAGGAGATCTTTTTCTTGCCAACACCTACTGTGACACGGGATCTCGGTTGATACGATCTTATCCGAAGTACCAGTCTCCATATCCCACAATGGGATTCGAACCTGCGACGTAAGGTTCAACACTTTACTCCACAACTCTAGAGCAAAGGCTCGAGATCT